GCGTTCGAGCAAGAAAAAATTTCGACGCTTTTTATTCAGGCAAGAAGGAACATTAGATGTAATGAACGGCAACCAGAGCAAAGCTGTCAATTCAAATATTTCAAGACATTAATTGTCAGCAGCAGAGTGGCGCAGTGGAAGCGTGCTGGGCCCATAACCCAGAGGTCCGAGGATCAAAACCTCGCTCTGCTAGTAGTTTTTTTTTTTAACTTAAAAGAATGTCTGACGACGTTTTACCGTTTCTTTTTACTCATTTTCCACCAATCAAATTAAAGTAAAACCATGCAACCGGCAACAAGGGCGGGAGAACACGGGCAACAAAAATATCAATCGACAATATTAAGCAAGGATAATGTCTGGCGTGCGAGGTTGGAAGCGTGCTGGGCCCATAACCCAGAGGTCCGAGGATCAAAACCTCGCTCTGCTAGTAGTATTTTTTAAACTTAAAAGAATGCTTCTTTTTACTTATTTTCCACCAATCAAATTAAAGAAAAATCATGCAACCGGCAGCAAGCGCGAGAGAACACGCGCAACAAAAATATCGATCGACAATATTAACCAAGAGTGATGCCTCGCGTGCGAGGTTGGACTAGTAAACGTATTGGTGTCCAAGAGTGATAAAATACATTTTTGACAGGCTATTCCTTTTTAAAACTATGAAACTAAAAATTCTAAATGATTTTGTTTGTTACTAAATGAAAGGCGCTTCCGTCCATCAGGCCTTTAAACTTTCGGTGGAGGTTCAAACTTGCTGGCGGTCAAAATATCATTCCGACACATTTACTGTTCAAAGCAATGGCGGATCAAGACCTAGAGCTGAGGAGGGGGGTGGGTTTTGTTCTGCTTGACCTGCCGACTTTTCTTCCTTCTGTGATTTCTTCTTTCTTTAGCCAAAGTTAGGGGGCGGAGGGCGGTCCACCCGGCCCTCCCCTGATCCGCCACTGCAAAGCCAAAAACGAGAACAGCTCTTCGTAATCGGCAGGATTCGAACCTACGCGGGGAGACCCCAATGGATTTCAAGTCCATCGCCTTAACCACTCGGCCAAGACTACTACGCTGATGTCAATTACAACTTTCTCAAGTTAAATCACTCTCTCTTATTTTGCACCAATCAAATTAAAGGAAAACCATGCAATTGGAGACAGACGAGGAAGAAGACACTTGGATCGGCAATAAGCGAGAGTGGTTGAAGGATCTCCTTGTGAAGATATTGGTTTGCGAGAATGAAAAAATACGTTTTTGACACGACATGCTTTTTTCCGTTTTTAATTTCAAGTCTTTTGAAACTAAAAGTTCAGATGAGTATTTCATAATGAAA